GCCCCTGCTGAAAACAGACTTGCCTCCTACAAGGCTCCGCGGAAACCAGCCAGTCTCAGTGCTAAGTTCATTAATTGGTCAAAGGCGAGGCTTGGACTCAGATCCTAAGTCAATGGAAGGGGAGAAGGTGAAAGGTGTTGGTGCTTGCTCAACTGTGAATGCCAACTGATCAACCCTGCCACTGGTTTGCTCCCCACCAATAAAGCTGCAACTGCAAGGCTTGGACCCTAGTCCCCTGACCCAACCACTAAATACTGACCTGGCAAGGGAGGATTGAAGTTAAGGTTCTGACACATCATCTTAATATTGTTGCCTTGGCCGCAGACCATACCTGGGGGGAAGTTGGTGCTTCCCTAGTCATGGCTCTTAAAAAACCCTCTCTCTCCCAGGCTCTGACACTGGCCCTGCTAGACCTCTGTGTGCTGCTCTAGAATGTATGTGCACATTTCTTTGAGGTCCAGGGTCTGAGAGCTTTCTCCAATGCTACGCAGATGTGGTGTGAATACCGCTTGTCCATTTGTCCTTCCAAATAGGTGACAATTCTGAAAGGAGATACAGCCACTGATGTGCTACAAGTATTTGTCAGACCACAACTACTCCACACCTGCTACCCCAGCAGATATTTCATCTGAAGAATGGGACTGCCAGCCCTTGCACCAATAGAAGCCAGGCCATTGCATACTAGAGCACCATCTTCAGCAGCAGTGGGAACTAGAGCTTGTGCTCAACTCTGGCCAGGGGGCTCTGGTCCCACGTGTGCTTGTGGGCTGAACATTGGCCCTGACTGCACCCAGGTGCCCAGCCCTGTGACATGGTTTCTGCTCATGTTCATTTGCTCTCTAGTTCCCTGAGGGTGCTGGAGCCATGCCCTGGCTTACAGCTGCTTTGCTGGGCCCTGACAACCTGCCCTTTGCCATCTGCCGGCTGGTATCCTGCTTTTTTAATCTGAATGGGCACCTCTGGAACCAGGAGGATGCCACCTGCCCCTGAGCACAGCTACCGCCTAGCTGTTGCTGCAGGGCCTCCCTATGTGGGGCTTGTCTGGACCAATCAGATCAGGTATGCGGAAGCTACACCATCATCACCTCAGGGGGACCCCCATATTCAGGTGAGCCCTCACTGCACTCTAGCCACACAGTTTAAGTAGTCCTAGTTTACCCTCCTCATAAAAATTCTACCCCAGATTACAAAAGCTGCACAGATAATTTTCACCATGGCTAAGTACGTCAGATACTCAAAGTCAATCTCTAGAATTGCCATCAGCATCAACTCTGTCATTTTATCCATCAAATAATACAGGCATTGTTCTTGTGGCCAATGAACTGATTAAGGCCATAGAAAAATAGTTTAGATCTTTCAAAAAGTGGTTGCAAAACAAAATAACACAATCTAACTTAAAAATAGGTTTATAGCCAAAACTTTCTATGTATTATGGAATTTGGGTGCATTTTATCATGCTATGGGGTGGGGCATCTAACTGTGAGTAAGCCACTGACCCATGAAGATAATATCACAGCAGCCCCACCCTGATCACATTTCCCAAACTCATCCTCACTCTCAGCTACTAAAATGATACAGTGCCATGGTTACTAATCGTATTAGTAGCCATTAGTAAGTGCTCCAGTATTTGTTGAATGAGTGAATGGAAAGATGAATGAATAAATAAATAAGTAAAGGAAGCAATGAATAAATCCTCCAATAGAAATACATTCACAGATTTTAAAAAATCAGAAGGCGAGAGAAATCAGGAGTTGTAGTTTAACGAGTATTGAGTGCCAGTTTTGCTGATGAAAAAGTTCTGGAGACCAGTTGCAGAATAGGGCGATTATACTTAAAGCTACCGAACTGTACACTTACACATAGTTAAGATGGTAAATTCTGTTACACATTTTTTATTGCAATAAATTTTCAAAAAAATCAAACCAAATTTAAAAGTCAGAAATAAAATTTATAGGAAAATTCAGAATATGCTTATAATAGCTATCTGAACCTCAATGAGGCCACTCTTAAATTTTCATCAATGTAGCCCTGGCGTCTTCAGCCCTCATTTTCATATATTATTTCATATTTATTTTGTGACTTCTTTTTTCAGAGCCAGTAATTGACAGTTCCATTATTTGATTTCTCATAATTGGAGAATTTGATGCTTCCAATTATAAAAACAAAATAAGACTGAAAACAACTCTTATTCTTTTCAACTGAGGGATGTTCCTAGAGTAGAGAACAAAAAAGTGCTAAACTATACTTTAGTGTATAATTTTCAGGAATTTTCATCATTAGCACATCATGAAAGTAAAGCAATTCTTGGTCTGCATAGAGTAATGGCTGCTAGCACAGGCTCTGAATCCAGCTGACTTAACACTAGCCCCGCCACTAACCAGCTTAATTTCTTTGTGCCCCAGTATCCTCATCATTCAAAATGAAGTTAATAATTTCTAAAAGCTTAAAAAACTATTTACATCACTGATGAAATGAGAATAATAATTTTAAAAAGCTTTAGCTAAGGTTTTACTTTGAATTTTACTTAAGCAAGAATTTATTCCATTTTTACAAATTGAAACACTAAACTCTACTTTTAACAATAGGCTAAGAGTTTGAACAGGTAACCTCTCAATTATAGTAAGTAATAACCCTTCAGTACACAATTCTATAATCATCTACGGTTCCACATTCAAAAATAAGCGCTGTTAACACATTGGTATATGATACATACCAAATATAATGATATTTTACATTGTGTTTTGAATCTTGTTTTCTATTTAACGTATCATGAGCATTTTCTCAAATCAATATACATTTGAGATTTCCTATACAATTTAGAATAAAATCCAAAGTCCTCAGCTTGTCCTACAAGCCCCAGTGTGATCCCAAGCCTCCTGGTCTAAACTTAGCTCCTTTCCGTCTACCCCCAACCTTCCTCACTGGGCTCCAGACAGTGCTCAGCATGCACTTGCCTCAGGGCCTTTGCACTTCCCATGTCCTCTCTCTAAAAACCTCTTCCTCCAGATTCTCATAAGGCTTACTCCCTCACTTTATTCATGCCTCACCTTCTAAAAGGTGAACACCTTATGGAAAGTAGCAACCACTATCTATCCCTTTGCCTTGTTCTATATTTCATCACAGCACGTACCAGTGCTTCATATGTTATATAGCTATGAGTGGTTAAGGCCTGTTTTTCCCAGTAGAATGTTAGTGCCAGGAGGGCAAAGATTTTGTCTGTCTTGTTTACTGTTTTATCCCCAGGTACTAGGTTCTAAACATATATTTGTTGAATGAATGAATTTGGCTCTAGTTTGTAATTTCATGACTGCACAGAACTCTGTTGCATGGGTGTTGCTTAATGCTGCTAATCCCCTGTTTTGAGACATCATGAATTGTACTGCCGTGGATCCACTTAAACACATTCTCTTAAATATTTTTGGATTGTTTCTTCAGGGTTGAATTAGTGGGGCAGCTTCCTAACCATCCCTCCTTTCTCTTATTCCTCTTCCCACAGGGTGTATCACAGCCAGACTTCCATCACACTCCTTTCCTTGGCCTGAAGGTATAGCCCGAACTCTATAGAGTTTGGTTCAGCCCAAGCTCTGAACGCTGGCATGTTCCTAGTTTGCCTTTCCATACTCAGTTCCCATCACTGCTCAGAAATATACTTTCCACTTTAACCAGGTCGCTCCTCTTATCAGTTTCTCTAATTATGCTTTCGTATGTAGTTCCCTCTTACAGAATATATTCCTGTTTCTTTACCCGCCTAAAGTCCACCCATCGTCCAGATCCCCCACCAGTCCCTTCTGACTCCATCGTGCCTTCCTTGGATCTAGTTTGTACGATCTCTCACTTCTTTGAATTGTTCTGTTCTTCCCCATACCTATCACTCAAGAGAGCCCCTGACTATCAGCCACGTTCCAGCATCGACCGTGCTGTAGATTACAAAGTGCAATTTCCTGAAGCACAAAAACCTTTTCCGCTCCCTTCTCAAAGCCCTATGCAGTTCTAGCCACAAGATAATAAATATTTTCTAATTTAACTCTTTTGCCAAAGTCAAAACTCTTGTGGAAAATGAGACAGTGTTCTGAGGGAAGAAACAGAATTATTTCTGAGCAAATATTTTCATCTTCTCACATATTTTATTTGCATACTATCTACCCACTATCCTTCTATAAATAAATTTAATTCTTAACTTTCTGTTTGCAATCCTTATTAAACCACCAAATAAAATGTTTCTAATGAATTTTTGTTGTCCTTTCAGACTTTGGCTTGTCTTAAGATAACATTATTAAGAATGACATTATTTTTAAAGGAACATTTCCTTCAGAAATTATTAAAAAATCACAACGGGGTGGTACCCGAGTTATATAGGTTATATATATGGGACTTGGGATGCTAGGAAAATCACAAAGTGTGCCCTTCCTTTTTCCCATTTTCATACATGAGAAATCAAGTTAAAATGAACAAGCAGGTCTGTAAGAAAGGAAAAGCATTTCAAAACAATGCAGCACACATGTGGACGAAGGATGTGTGTGGAGGCCTGGAGGAAGATGCTTTCCTTCTGTGATGACGCTTCTGGAAACTCTAGGCTGAGCACTCAGCAGAGGTATGACTGTAGCAATATGGAGGGTGAGTCCAAAGTCTCACTCCTTTGCTATTCTTTTTTTTTTTTTTTTTTTTTTTTCCTGCGGTACGCGGGCCTCTCACTGTTGTGGCCTCTCCCGTTGCGGAGCACAGGCTCCGGACGCGCAGGCTCAGCGGCCATGGCTCACGGGCCCACCTGCTCCGCGGCATGTGGGATCTTCCCGGACCGCGGCACGAACCCATGTCCCCTGCATCGGCAGGCGGACTCTCAACCACCGCCACCAGGGGAGCCCCCTTTTGCTTTTTAATCCCAGTAACTCACATTCTTCTACTCAGCCTCGGGTCTTTTTCTCTACCCCCATGTGCTTTCTGGTTGCCTGGACTTGGGATGCTTCAAAGCCCCCGCAGCAGCCTGACAAAGGGCTACTCACCATCCTCCTCGAAGAGCAGCCCCATGTGTGCGTGCGCCTCGGCTTCCTTCTTCCCACCGTCAATTTTGATGAGTTGAGCAATCTGAAAACATCGTTCATAGAAGTGGTTCCTTACCCACTTGTCTTCAGAATTATTGAAGTAACAGGCCAGAGCATACAAGTTATTATAGACCTCTTCAAAGTATTCTTCAAAGAGAGAAAAACATCATAAAATGCATTAGAAAGATGTCTCAAGGTACATCCCTTCAAATGGCAAACGAATATAGTGACATTTATCTTCTATTTTTCCTTAAAAGCATGATTAACCATTTAAAAAATGGAAATACAAAAATTAATGTTTTAACTATTTAAATAATTACATTAATTAAAGGATGTGCACACGAGAAAAACAACAAAATTCTTTTGGAGAGCTTAGACCCTGTTAGAAATTGACATACTCTTTGGTTGAAACAGGAGTCTTTATATAACACAAAAAAACAGAATGATATCTACCAGCAATGTGCTCAGTTCTTTTGGAAGAAATGAGTATGTGGTATCAGCAAGTACTTTTCCCATTGAAAATATGAAAATTATTTAGAGATTCCAGAGAAAGCAATGTTTCTTAACCATGGCTAAAAGATGAATGAAGAAAGCAGATGGAATCTGAAAATAGCAAGGTATTTTCACCCAGAAGAAAAGGCAAGCATGCAGCTTATAGATAGAAGAAATGATGATCACAATGACCACATAACCTCCTTACACTTTCTAGTGCTGTTTCTGACAATACAAGTTACCAACAATGTTAAGAAAAAGTGGATTTCTATGCTTATCTTTTCTATGAGTATTTTTTCTGCTGAAAATGCATTAATATTAGTCATCCCTCTCACTCAATTACTAGCTTATTAGTTGTCAGTTTATTAAACCCCCCCTTTTTTTCCCAAAGTGGCATCTGACCTATTTGTACACAAAAAAGTATATTAATAAACTATGAATCAGTCTTATAGACTCCACAGCAATCAGTCATAAACTTAAACAAAAATGTGTGTGTTAAATTGTGCCTCACCCTTGTAAATTTCATTCTATTGGTGGATATGAACAAATTCATTATCTTTATGTTTCTTTGCATTTGTGCTTAAAGCACAGTAGTACATGTGTGGTAGCCTCTGGATTACCCTTCCAAGGATTTTTAACAACAATAATTATCTATTGGAATTAACTGATATTAATTGTTCACTACTATCTATTGGAATTAACTGATATTAATTGTTCACTACTATCAGAAGAGTCAACCTATATACTCCTGAAAGAATTACAATTATGAAAAGCATTTGTATATTGCCCACTGATACTCCTATAAGATTAAAATCAAAAGGCTCAGAAAAAATGACATTAGGCTGATTACCACAAAAATTAACTTTCAAAAACTGTACATAAGTCACTCCAATGTTTCCAAAGAAATTTCTAAAACCTATGTCATGTTTTTACAGACACTGCTTCATAATTCCATAGGAAATGAAGATTTATCTCAAAATAAGTTTTAGACCTAAAAATTAAAGTTAAAAACTGTTCTCCCTATCTCCCATTTTTGAAGGCACTGGGGATTCTGGAGACCATTCTGCTTTTTAAGGTATTCACAATAGGCAATAGCTTAGGTGAAAAGTAGAGGGTACCCTGAGCTATTTACTTAAAACGAATACTCTCATTTCAGAACTGACTTCTCCTATGCTTTATCTTTCCATTCTGAACCTTCTGCCTAATATGAATAGAGCACTAAAATATGTTTTGTAACATTTTATATTCTTTCTCATATTTAATGATTAGAGGGTTGCTGTTTTTTAAAACCTGTAAATAAAACATTTCATATCTTCCATTTTAAAAAGTTACATGAAGAGATTTTAAAAAATATATGTAATCCTGAAATAATTTTTCCTTTTTTCAGTAATTAAACCTTAATAGAAAAACATTTCCAACATTTCATAAACGAAGTTTTTGGTTCTGTTTAGAATGAGTTATATAAGCTATTTAGATTACATACTTAAAGACTACTTGTCAGCTAAGTTATTTTTCTATGGAAAAATTGAATGTTTTTCAGAGTATTAAGTATAAAGGACTATATCAAGTTTTGAATCTTTGAATAATCCAAATATATGGTCTGTACCCTTTACATTCTAAGCAGTCTTTTCTCCTTGCTTGTGGAACACTTTCCTGAATTGTCAGCAGGTATATTTATGAGATGAAAATCAATTTTATTGTTGATTTATTATTGAGACCAATATTCATTATGCTACCTAAAAAGGAGATCTCATGATGAAATAAATTTGGAAAATGCTCTTGCTAATTTCCCTCTTTCAGTGAACCACACAATATACATGAGCATGTTAAAGGCTCTGATAAGTCCTGCAATAAACCAAACTGCTTAATGTATATGTTAATTCACCTGGTTGTTTCTCAAACTTATTTCACCAGACAATTACTTTTGCTTTACATAAACTGTATAAACATCCTGTGGGACTCTGCTTGAGTAGAACATACTTTGGGTATCTTAAATAAATGTTATTAGAAAAGAAAATTGCTGCTTAACCCTTAACAATAATTTAAAGTCAAGTGTAAATCATGTTTGAATTATCTATTGATTTGGCTACCCATTACCATTATTGCCATCTCTTCCCCAGTCCCAAGGGGCACAAGGCCCTAATCATAATGTTACAGATGGTACAGAGATGATTCACAACAATGGGAAATATAAGAAATGCTATCAGGGACAAAGAAACACTTTAACAAATAGAAAATAATCCAAAAAGGAATGACTGCCTTACTTTAAACACTTCTTTGCTATAAAACAGAAAGTGCTATTTTGAAAAGTAATTTAAATAACTCTAGGTTCCTGCTCTGCCAAGTCTCAAGGGACAGAATTGACCTGAGATGACTATTGTTAGTGCCACAGCTTTGATTACATGGACTTCACTGTGACCCTAGAGTGATGGTCTTTCCAGTGAAAAGCAATGAGAATACTCAGAGATATGCTGCTTCAAGATAATTGTCTCAGATTCCACAACCATATGGGGTGAAATCTTCAAAGCACTATTAAGAGATCTCTGTATTCTAGATTAAGTGTGTGTGTGTGTGTGTGTGTGTGTGTATGGGTTTTAAGATTTAAAATTAATTCAAGTTAATAAGAGTTTCTGTGCATATCCTCTACACCATTTTCTGGGACATGCTTATTAACTCAATCACAATTTTTCTCCTATGAAGTTCATGTGTTAAATGTGAACAAATTATACACATTTTTAAAAAAGAGCATACAAATATTTACATGTCCTTCAACTGAAGTATTTCCAATAATACTTTTTTGCAATAATTTTAACTTTCTGTATTTTAACCAGGCAAAAGCCACTGCCTTTTGAAGTCGATTACCTTACAGAAGAGTTGTCCTGAGCAAGAGGTAATTTTGTTCCATTTAACAAATGTAACCTCAGTTACCATGAATATATGATAAACCACTCAGTAAAGAAAATATTTCATTACCTGTACCATGTGTATAAGACATTGGCTATTGTAAAGTTTGGACTTTTAAAATATTTGGAATTGGAGAATCATTTTACTTTATATGTATATTTACTTTTCTTTAATAAGAGATTACAAATTAAAAGTTTTCTACCTTCAGATTATTCAGCATTTAGTTTCTTTACAATTACAAAATGCTTTACGACAAGTTTCTCATATTTATGACACTTTATGACTAGTGATGTGTTTGGCTCGTATTATGCTACTAAAATGAATGCTTCTATTTAAAACATTTAGTGAATGTGATTAATTCACCTTAGAAAATGACTGTGAGCAAATTTTATCTGCATCAATTCTATTTTCAGTAAAAATATCATTTCAGAGTTTGGGGCTGACACTAGAATGTAGGTTTTCTTACAATAGCATTTTAAACAGTTAATTTCTTGAGAAATTATATGTAAATCACACTTTAAAATTCACCAAAGGACTCTATTTTTAAAGTCAGTTCTGCAGTTAAATAATTTTCATTATACAAATAATCAAATAATCACCTCTTGTCTACACACACACACACACACACACACACACACACTCTAGTTCACATGTGGTGTTGTTAGGACTTTTGTATATCTCATATTTGTAAGTCAGATCACAACCAGATAGGAAATATGTATATTGACTCCACTATAGAGGGTAAAAGACTTCTGCTACCCCTCTGATGCTGTTTCTATGTCCCTATCAATTTTCCACATTGCAGCACTGGCTAACAAAACATTGTCTAATACTCTATTTTCCCATAGAAAGGCCTGAAATGAAGTACAGACATTGTCATGTTGTGGCCTGAGCTTCTCTTTTTGAGTCCTATGGTGTTTTCACACAAAAAGTTGAACAAAAGGATTTGTTTGGTGAAAACACCAAATTTATATGCCAACTTTTTGGATTTCCTTTCTTTGATTATACAAAATGACCAATTATGAATATGTAAATAAGAAATACTTATGACAATATTGGTATAATTATAGTAGAGATTAAAATATTTTCTTCAATACTTGAAGCATATAGACTTTCTGGAAAATTTCAGGATACCAAAAAAAAAAAAAAGGAATTTATTAGAGATGATGTGATGGAAAATATAAAATTAACAATTTTATTCGTAATTGTAAATTGCAGGCTTTTTATGTCTCCTCACTATTCACTAATAAAAATTCTCTGATAGAAATCTATAGAACTTATGGATAAAATCTTTAAATTACATTATACAAATACTAGAAAATAAGTATAACTGTCAAGTTATAGTACTCTGAAAGTGTCTCCTCAGTGAAAGTCAATAATCAGATTATATATATAAAAAAAAAAAAACTATGGAAAGATGTATAATTAATGATACCAAAGATTTTAATACATTGGAAAGGCCTGGAGATGTTATTAGGTGCTATTCATTGTCTTCCCTGGCTTAGAGTGACAACACCAGGATGGCTGTGTGTCTGGCCAGCCTTGTGATTCAGCGTTCTCTACCATTTATTCCATTTAGATGCTTAGCTGACTAGGTTGAATTGTGCTAAGGTGTCTCAATGTTTTAAATTCATACTTGAAACAATTTGGAACCTTCCCTCAGGTGCTCACTGTTCTGCCTTCTGCAGTGCTGCTTCCCCAAATCCATCCACTCACCTTTCCTTTCAGCTGCTTCGGCCCTGGTCAGGTAGTAGTAGAAGTGATCCAGCTTGTCAGGCTGCTCTTCCAGGGGTCTCTGCAGCCAGAAGAGGGACCTTACTTTTGCAGCCTCCCTCAGGGCATCCCACTTCTCCATCAGAGCAAAGAGCTCACTAAAAGACTTATGATAACCATCTCGCAGCATGTCCACACAGATGTTCTTCTTGTACGAGTTCCGGTAACTGGGAATAAGAACAGAACACTGAACACGTTATTTTAATCCTTTAAATCTGTGCAGTGTTTTGATCTTTATAATAATTAAAAGTTGAATCACGCTGCATTTTTTTCCCTCAGTGGAAGCGCTGAAAACAATCTTGACCTCAAACACTTATAACTGAACAACTTCAGTTTAATGAAAGATGCCAGGAACTATCTAAATACAGTAATTTTAGTGAAATTACATTATAAATATATCAGTTCCAGAGCTGAGCTCCTTTTGATAAGGACAAATAAGCTAGCTGACTGATGTTTTAGTCTGTTTGGGCTGATATAACAAAATACCCCTGACTGAGTAGCTTATAAACAACTGAAATTTATTGCTCAGAGTTCTGCAGGCTGGAAGTCCAAGATCAAGGCTCCAGGAAGGTCGCCTTCTGCTGAGGGCCCTCTTCCTGGTTCACAGCCAGCATTTTCTAGTCATATCCTCACATAGTATAAGGAGCTAGGGAATAATCTGGAACCTTTTTTATAAGAGCACTAATCCCATTCATGAGCGCCCCACCCTCCTGACCTAATCACCTTCTAAAAGCCCCAGTGACCTACAGCTTTGGGGATTAGGATTTCAGTACATGAATTTTAGGGAACACAACATTCAGACCATAGCAACTGACAGTATCCAAAAATACTTAATACGTTAGCCACCCACCAAAACAAAACAAAAAACCAGTAAGGCAAGCAAAATTTAAATGTGTTGTCGAATATCAAAACAAAGCTCTATTAAGTGGTTTCACTGTATATTATGGAGGTTCATTCATTCATTAATTCATTTACGCAGAAAATGTTTATTGAAATCTCTTGCTAAATATATTTTAAAAATTATTTTCAGTTAGGACTAACTTAATGATTTGTTATGTACTATTTCACTTCTAACAATAATAAATCATACGCAAGGAGATGAAATGACAATTGAATAGCCCACTTATTTATCCAACAAATAGCTACTGAGTTTCCTGCTAAGTGCCAGGCATTGTTCTAGACCAAATAGATTCAATGCCCTTGTGAAGTGTATATTCTAGTGGGAGAACACAACCAACAAATAAGCAAACAAATCATAAATAATTTCAGACGATGAAAATTGCTATATAGGAAATAAAACAGGGTTATGGAATAACAGCTCTGTGGTGGCTATTATTACACTAAGCAAGAGGCCTAATGATATACCTTTATACTAATTATTTTACATTTTTTTAAATAGGAGACAATTAAATATTTAGAACTGACTTGATGTGCTACTACTATCAATAAGCATTTCAGTGTGGAGTGGAGACAGTCTGGAATTAGAACACCCAAGGTTGAGGTCAGCTCTTTCTAACCTCTCTGGACTTCATTTCTTCTCATCTGTGAAATGTGTATATTAATCTGTATTAATCTATGCCCTACCTACATCACAGGATTCTTCTAAGAACCAAGCAAAATTATGTATGTGAAGATGCTCTGAGAAACATTAAGTCCTGCAATAGACTCACCCTACAGAGTTTAAAAAACAAATGCAACAAAAATGCCCAGCTCCCATCGCCAATAATTTTTTACTCAGGGGATCAGCTTAGGTCTAGAACAAAATACTTACAGTGAGAAAGGGAGTGGGGAGAGGGAAGTGAAAAAAAAAGGGGGGGAAAGACCCAGATCATGGACACCTCAAAGCCATGGTAAGAAGTTTGGACTCCAAGCTAAGAGTGGGATAGAGCCGTAGAAGGGTTTGGGTCAGGGAAATGAGTCAAAGAGATTGTCTTTTAGAAAAATCATATGGAAGGAATGTCCCAGCTGAACTGCAACTCTCCTCCTCCTGCACCTGGTGGCCAGTACAAGCCACCTATTGTTATAGAACTAGTTCACAAAGAGAGTAAGGAAACTGCAGTCCCAGGCCAAAAAGTCAAAAACCACCATATTGTCAAAATGATGACCAAAAATATTTGAAGTGGAGAGGACAGGAGCTATCACAGATTTTTGTTTCTGCCCTTTAGCTGAGAGTGTGGAGAAGGAAACAGTGAGATGCTCAGAAGGGCCAGGTCCTCTCTCCCCTCCCCCCACCCCCTGCCCCTACACAAGGGCATGGAAAGGCAGCAAAAGTCAATGCAGAGACTTCCTCAGCAGAAGAGGATTGGAACCAGCCCGTACAATGTCCCATAGCCTCTGAAGGGTACGGGCCCAACACCGTAATTGTCTAGCGGGCTCCGAGTGTGTGACATAAGAGTTAATGGGAAGAGAGGGTTGGTATGTTTGCCACAATGTCGCTGGCCACAGCAAGGGGATGTGTGCTAAAAGGCTGTCGGATGCGCTGCCCACTGGGGACGGAAGGGGGACACAGCTATAACTCTGCGGATAAGAAGCACTGGGGAGCTACTGAAAGAGTCAGGTCAGCATATTTCCAGAGCTGACAGAAAAGGATGAATAGAGTACATCAGTGACGGACCCCTGGACAGCATCCCAGGTGAGGAATGCATTCAACTCCAAGGAAGAGAAAACTCGGCTCACAGTGCCTTCAAAACTAGAGGTTTCTATTTCTCACAGCACAAGACACCTAAGGGTAGGCAGCTGCTGGCCTTGGTTCCATGGTCTGGCAAGTTCAAGGCCCATGCCTCTGGGATTATTTTATCCTTCCCTTCACTGGTCACTGGAGGGCTGCCCCAGCTCCAGACATCATGTCCACCTTCAAGGCAAGAAGAAAGGTGAGAGTTCGGTGGCATCAGCTGTGTCTTTCTCCATTATTGGGGAAAACAAAAGCATTCCTGCAACTTCTGTTGGAGTTCCACTTTGGTTCCATGGGTGAGAACTGTGTCACTTGGCCATCCCTGGCTGCAGGAGACTAGAAAAACAAATATCCTGCCTGTTTTGGGGCACACTGCTGCCCCCAAATGAAACTGGAGTTATGTTAGCAAAGAGGGAGAAATGGATACCAGGGAGGCAAGTTCAATGTCTATCACAAGGTCCTAGATTAAGAGTTAATGCTGACAAACTCCCACTCCGAAGTTTGCCAGATAAAACTGGGCAGGATACCCAGTTAAATTTGAATATCACATAAACCACGAATGATTTTTTCTTAGTATGCCCCAAATATTGCATGGGAATACTTACACCAAAAAACTTTGTTTTTTTGAAACTCAAATTGAAGTGTATGTTGTATTTTTATTTGCAAAACCTAGTAACCCTATTTCCCTCTACCCTGCACCCATGCTGTGTTGCTTCTACATGGGAAAACAGGGTGAGGGGAAGTGTTAGAATCTGAATAACCTGACAAATCACTGAATTGGACTGACTTTACCTAAGAGGGATGAGATTGGAATTTTACACTAGGGAGGATCAAGGCTTAGGGCCAGGAATTAAAGTTAAGTCATAAAAAAACAAAGACTTTCAATTTAGCATGCTTGAGCTTGTTGACTCTGAAATTCACACCAGATCCAAGAGAACAGAAGCGGGAGCAGGGAGAAGAAACGGGAGACTCCGGTGTTCACGCAAAGGAGAGGACACGGGGGCTGAACTGAAGTGAGGCAGGGGGATAAATAGAAGTAGGTGGATTCAATACATATTTAGGAGACAAAAATACCGATTACTTGGTGACTGATTGGATGTTGGGGTTGATGGAAAGAGAAGAGCTAGGGTGACAACAGGAGTCGCGTGTGGGTATTTGGTAATTTGCTAAAGAGGGGAACACAAAAGAATGAACAGGTTTGGGGAAAGATAATAAGTCTGGGTTCAGATAACTTGAGTTTGAGGAGACTGAAGGGGACATCCAGATGGTACCCAAAAGGGCAGTATGAGGGATGGTAAGGAGGTTTGAGGGGACAGGGGCTGGAAATCCAACCTTGCCTCAAACAAGCACTGCCACACAGAGAACAAGCTTATGGTTACCAAAGGGGGAAGGTGGGGAAAGGGACAAATTAGGAGTTTGGGATTAACAGATACACCCTGCTCTGTATAAAATAGATAAGCAGGGACCTACTGTATAGCACGGGGAACTGTATTCAATATCTTGTGATAACCTATAATGGAAAAGAATCTGGAAAAGAATATCTATATGTATACATATATATATATATATATATATATATATATACACACACACACATGTATATATAACTGAATCGCTTTGCTGTATACCTGAAACTAACACAACATTGTAAATCAACTCTACTTCAATTAAAAAACAACAACAAGCACTGCCACCTTTGTACGTCTATGCCTTGGCTGCCATCATGTTTTCCTGTGAGTGAAGAAAGCAAACTGGGGCAAAAAAATTATAAATAAATAAAAATTAGAACGTTGATTTAAACAATGAAAATGAGTACATGTGAGGAGGCCATCTCAGTTCTAAACCCAGCTGGGACAGAAATGCAGAACATCATTCCCTAGGCCTTATTTCCCTCACCTGGAAGACGAAGGTGCTCTGGCTGGATTTGGTCCACCCAGCATCTCGTTTCATGTCCACAGACTCCAAAGTATTTTTTGGAAATGGCACATCGTGTGTCATCTTGGTGGGACTTGATTTCAAAGACTCCCTAGCCAAGGGGTGGATCAGTGACCCAAATTAAGCCACTGGCCTCTCTCCCAGGATTTTGAATCTTGAGGCAAGAAACACAAAGATGTAGAAGGTTGCTGGAACTCAGTCAACCTGGCAGCGACATCCTGACTAGAGCTGCAAGTAGTTCTTGCTACCTAGATCCATTCAAGTGTCCCACGTCTTTTCTTTTGAGCCGGGTTCTCCCCTAAATTCAGCTAGTTACCAAATATCCTTCTAATAAAATCATTTCCATTTTATTTGGTCAGAATCAGTTTCTGCTCCCTGTGAGCAAAGAATACGAACAGCTTCAGAAGGGACTGTCTTGGTACCCAAGACATTTTTCAGCTTCAAAACATCCATGATATATAATTAATATCAATTTTTAAAATTTCTAGTAAATTTTTTAAAAAGACCATTCTTTGCAAAAGAGATTTCAAATAGAGATGTATTTAAAATGCCTATATAACT